TCCCTCTCAGCTAGCTGTTACTATACACACTTGTCTTCACTGAAAAAGCTAGCTCAAGTGCATCCACTTAAGTTATTCCATTTGACCAAGCCCACCTCAAGTGAGAGCAGACCCAATGCAAAACAACTGCTCTATATGAACTAATCTGAATTGCTGCTCAGATTGACTGGATTAGCATTTAAGGTTTAAGGAAATGTGTCCAGTTTAGCCACAGCTGATACCTATATAATTAATGGCGAACATCAGCACCACCAGGTCATACCCCATAATGACCAACTAATCTAGCCTTTTTGTCATCATAGGTTAAACATTCATTCACAAACAAACTTGATGAAAACCAGCAATACTCAGGCCTTTTCAAGGAGGTGGCATCATTCAGGTAAAAGAGTTTCTCAGCTGACAACTGTTGACAAAACACTGGTGCCAATGGCATCTAAAACCTAGGACTCTCACCCACAATCCATCACATCTGCCGATGCAATATTTTACAGTTAGGACACACAATATTGGCAAAAACAGCCATATGTGTTGGTGCTTTAGATGTGCAGCTAAAGGCACAATGGGATCTGATGTGTGATCCAATCACATTTCCTGCCATGCCACATGTTTATGGCAGGAGGCATGATTGTGGGATTGCAAATTAGATCCCACCACACCTTATTGCCAGTGCAGGGAGAGCCTGGGATTGCGATCAATTACTACAAATGTTCTGTGGAATAACTTTGTGTCTTATTCCTCCTTTTATCATAATCATGCCATTAATTAATTAAACATATGGCTGGGGGACAATTTAAGATGCGGTTAAGTAGTTAGTTACATCTTAAGTGTAATGTGTAGATGAGGCCTTAGTGACAGCAAATATATGCAATGGTAGAAGTTCAGCAGCAAGACTTTCTAGTATAGAAATAATCTGGCTCAAATTTAAAGTACCACTAGTTTAACCTAGAGATGTATGGGCATAGACAGGAGTCAAATATGGGGCAACATCTGAGTTATACCTTGAACAAACAGAACACATGCACCCCATAAAATATTCAGTTCACTATTCAGACCTTGAAGCTATTACCATCAGCCTGAAGTCATTTTTTCTTTGTTGGGTGTACACAAAAAAAGCTATCATAGGACAGTTAGGTACTTGGTTCCCACTTCCAATCAGCAAGACTTTGATGCCTAAGCTGCAAGAACCTCGTTCCATAATCAAAGCTGAATCACCGTCTAGTTGTAGTGGTAAACCTTGTCTCTGTTGCAATGCTGAACTTCCTTGCAATGGTCACAGAACCATGAGGCTCAAGTGGTGTTTAGTCATGTATTCACACAGCATGGATATACCACCACACAGTCAAATAACTTCCTCTGAAGCAGCTGTGCCAGTCCTGGTCATTCAGCTGGTACAGTAAATGCATTAGGCTGTACAAGATGCACCGAATGTACTGTGTCCTTATTAAGAATTACTTCAGCACCCCAAACAACTACATTTGAAGTGAGCCCCTTCCCTACAGATAAGTGGTGACAATAGAAACATTCATCCCTGAATTGTGTAGGAGGCTTGTGGAAGAGAAGCAATTAATTAGGATGCTACACTGTGCAGGATGAATGAAGGGGTTACTGAATCATTTGCTGCCATGAATATCACTGTCAATCACCTCCTAGCTATAGCGGTTGGCACAATTAATATCCAGCCAGGCAGGCCAAACTAACCACCTTCATAATCTTTATTAAGGAGAACATAACATGGTTGGGATCCCAAACACTGAAACCAGAATTTATGCGAAGTATCTGTCAAAACAATTTGCTTTCTTTAGTTTTACTCAGATTTATGATTCAGTGTTGCCGAGTTAAGTCAATATCAGCTGCTGCCAATATCTTAGGTAATATTAAGCTGAGACATACGCGATTGATTTTTTTTCTTAAAGGAAGTAATAAAGGAATGAGATGATGGTTCTAACCAAGGGAGGAAGTCTTAGGATCACAGACATTAGAAATGTCAATGACATCCTACACCCAAAGGCAGGAAATGAGGCAGGGAGCTTAAACTGCAGCAAAGTGGATTTCGATTACGTTTCAGAAACTTTCTAACTGCAAGAACAATAGAACAAGCTTCCCAGAAAAGTTGTGGAATATCTATTACTGGAAGTTTCAAGGTGGGATAAGCATTTGTCTGCGGTGGTTTCAAGGTGGGATAAGCATTTGTCTGCGGTGGTTTAGGGATAGCACATCTGCACCTGTACATATGGTTCAACTGGATGACCCTTCAGGTCCCTTCCAATCCTATAATTCTATGATCATAGCTTGCCCAGTTCAGCCCCTACATCTGAAGCAAGGCTGATCGCTCTGTGGTGAGGCTTTTCTTCATTACAATTTTCCCTGCTAGAGCATGGCCTCTTGGAATTTACACACAGTCAAACAATACACAGATTAGGCACTATTTTCTGCAGCAGCTAACAAAAGCATATTGCTGGAAGCAGCTCAATTTCACTGAGTTTCTGCTCACATACACTGTAATCCCTGTACCATGTTTGTTTGTTTGTTTAAATAATTTTTCCATATCCTTTCCCTCACAAACCAGGAATGCACACTGAATTCAAAGAACGGATCTACTAAAGCTACAAAGAGGGTCTCTGCTACCACAGACCAGTGGTCTTCAATCTCCAGCCTGCAAAGCTATGACATCCATCCCATGGGTCTGGAAGTTTGGCAGCAGAGGAATTGCTCCCAGAGCTACAGCAATTAATACCACCACCACTGCCCACTATCAAACTTCTGGACCCATGGGAAGTCCCACAGTCCAGATGACATGGCCCTGTCCACCAGATCATACCAGGACACGGTCTCTCTGTGGCAAGATGTGGGCTGAAGAGCTGAGCTGCCATGTGGGTCTAGCCTACAGAGACAAACCCATGCACAGGATCCAGCCCACAGGGGCTGGTGAGGTTGAGCATTATTACCATAGTCCAAGATTTCAAAACTGACTAATGATTTGAGATGCATATGATTTTTGCATGCCCAGTTTAAGATACTACAAAAACAGGCTCAACTTTGAGAAAATAGAGAACACTCACTTTCTGCAAATCAAGTTATTTTAAGAACAGGCTGGGTATCCAAAACATCCTTCAAAATAATTAGTCACTTCAAAAAATTTAGACTCCCCCTCACCATGTTATCATATGGAGCTCAATAACAGAAAATTCCTCTAGGTCTTTGTAATCAGGTACTAACTGTAAAATGATATGCATCTAGCAGAAAACTCCATTTGCCTGTAAATATGGCAATTCTAACAGGTGTTCAGAACTTTCTATTTAGTTAAAAATTCTAATTAGTCCTCATAGGTTTTCCTGCTGGCAATACTGATTAGCACACATGAAGGACTCTTGTTCCCAATACTTCTCCCACATTTTAATTTTGCTTTGTAGACAGCTGTTTCTCAATTTGTACCTCTGCTTTTTCCCCCCAGTGAAAGGATATATTTGTTTATTTTGAATAATCTCACTTTGGTCCATTTATACCTCGTTTAGCAGGTTCATTCCTCTATATTCACATCTCTATTAGTTTTGGTGAGTCTATTAATTCTAACTTGTAGTTTGTCAACTAGGGCTGTGTGAAGCTTCGGTCCCCAATTCGATTTGGTGGAGATTTGGCTTGATTTGGTGGCTGAATCCCCAAATCTGAAATGAATCAGGAGACCCTTTAATCTCTCCGAATCGATTTAGAGAGATTTGGAAAGATTTGGAGATTCAGACATAGACACAGCTTTAAATGTTTTTTTCTACATACCTCGAGGTACCAGGCATGGCTCCTGAATGCTGCGATGCTGGGACTCATGGAGCGCCCCACAGGAGTACGGAGGGCCTCCCTGCATGCTCGGCAGTGAACCCAGAAGTGGACCAGAAGCACTTCCAGGTCTGCTGAGCATGCTGCTCCCTGCACCCCCACAGCTCAGCAACTGGAGCCTACTGGGTCTTGGGGGGGGGGGGGGGGGGCGCCCGGGGTCCCCCTGTGGCCAATCGCCAAGCTGGTGGGGCACAGGGGAACCCCCTGTGCGCTCCCCAGGGAACCCTTCTGGAAGCGCTTCTGGTCCACTTCTGGGTTCACTGCCGAGCATGCAGGGAGGCCCTCCGTACTCCTGTGGGGCGCTCCATGAGTCCCAGCATCGCAGCATTCAGGAGCCATGCCTGGTACCTCGAGGTATGTAGAAAAAAACATTTAAAGCTGTGTCTATGGCCAAATCACTGATTCTCCAAATCAGCATTGAATCTTCAGATTCAGATTTGGCCAAATTGAATCGAGGACGGTGATCCAAATCAATGAATCGAATCACTGTCCCCTATTTGGGCCGAATCCGAATCAAATAATACCCATTTCACACACCCCTATTGTCAACCCAATTCGCAACCATACTAAGTCACTTTCAAAGTAGTTTTTTATTATTAATTGTCCTTCATAACATGTATTATGGGGTGTTATATGTAACATGATAAAGTAACCCAAATACACTGCTGCACATTACATTTCCTTTGTCTGGTAAACTAACAGTTAATTTCATCTTCCTTATCACTGTACTTTTAGTTTTACTATAGCAGCAGTGCAGCAAGGGTAGGGCTTCTTAAAAAGGAAATGATATACTATTTCACTTGTTCCTGGAATAAAAATAAATAAAATTTAATATGTCATGTAACTTAACACTTCTCAAATATGAGACTACTTCTATTCAATGTTCTTTTACTACCCTACTTGCTGTGCTTTAGTATACTCTTGGGGCAAGTGAGATACGCAACTCAGAAAACTGGCCACCAAGGACATGCAGCTGGTGCCAAAATGACCACAAATAATTTTCCACCACATATTTCCCAACCCCTTTAAACACAAATGAGGAATGGAAGAATTATCTCACTCCAGCAAAATGACTCACATTATTGGCTAGGATTGAAGATGGTTGGAACTGTCAAAAAATGGTACTGCACAGAATGGAGGAAACGCATGCTTCAGGATTTCCATGTACTTACTTTTCTACATAATGAAAAGCCCTCACCATATTTGAGATATTCTCAGGGCTTGAGACATTTCAGCAACATGCAGGAAGGTGAGGGAGGAATACTCAGGAAGTTAGGAGGAGAATCCTATAGTGGGATTAAAATCCATGTTGGACATGGGAATGGAAACAGATAGAGGGGTCAGGAATGAGAACATGAATGAATGCAAAGGCATAATTAAAAAGTCTTCTAAGTATGAGGTTTACATTTCACTTTTGGGTGTAAGAGGCTGGGGAGAAAGAATTTCTCATACAGGCTGGTCTTT